CTCCCGCTGCGCGCTGCCGGCGAGCGCCAGCCCGAGCCGGGCGGTGGGGGGTGCTCGCTTCCTTCCCGCACCGCAGCCCCCATCTTAGCCCTTTTGCCCCCCACCATTTCCATGCGAAATCCTTTGCGGGCTTGGCCTGGATCAGCACTTCCTCTCGGCCTCGCAGCTCCGCTCTTCGGTTTGCGCCCAGGACTTTGCCTCTGGGCCTGTTCACAAAGCGTATAAAAGTTGAATTTAATGTAACTGAATTCCTTGGGCTTAAGTGCACGAAAGACTTCCCCTTGTGCCCTGTGCTCTTTCCCCTTCCTCATTCTTTCCACACCCCTCCTCTTAACTCAGTATTATTAGGTGGTTCTTTGAGAATGACTTCCCCGGCTCCGTGTGGAGTGTTTTTCTGCAGTTATTGTTTGTTGTAATGGGAAGTGCAGTTCGGCCGTGTACAGGAAAGTAACATGTTTACTCAGGTATCTTGGGTGAATTTCATTTTTTGTCCTAACATTTGCAAATACTACAGTTCCATTTTAGTTAAAATTTGTGAATATCTAAAGGAATAATCTTTCAGTGACTAGGAGGTGTGTCTTAAATTCTTATTTTTAAGTGTCTCACATAGACTTAGTAATCAAATCAGTTCAGAGTTATTTGTTTTGAATATTTCTTGTTTTCTGCAAGTGATATAAACACTAGACAGGGTTTTCTTTAAAAAAAAGCATTAAGTTACAGTGCACATACTATATATACAGTGCACTCATTTAAGTGTATAATGCAGGGGTTTTCATATGTTCAGTTACATCACCATCAGTTTAGAACAGTTTCATCACCTTAGAAAGAATCCCTGTATCCATTAGCAGTCATTACCTCTTTCCCCCCTAACTTAGCCCTAGGCAACTTATTAATCTATAAATTTCTACCTCTGTAGATTTGTCTCTTTTGGACATGTCATATAAATGGGATCATATGTGTTCTGTGTGACTGGCTTCTTTCCTAAGCATGTTTCCAAAGTTCATCCATGGTATAGCATGTATCAGCACTTAATTCCATTTTATGGCCAAACGTTCCATTGTATGTATATACCACATTTTATCTGTTCATCAGTGATGGACGTTTGGTTGTTTCCACTTTTTTTTTGCTATTTTGAATAATACTGCTATTTTTTGGTACAAGTTTTTGTGTGGAAATATGTCTTTATTTCTTTTGGGAATAGAATTGCTGGGTCATATTGTTACTCTTTAACATTTTGAGGAGTTGCCAACCTGTTCTCCAAAGTGGGTGCACGTTTTACAGTCCCAATGTCTGATGTTCCAGTTTTTCTACATGCTGGGGAATGCTGTCTATTTTTATTATAGTGGATGGGTGTGAAGTAGTATCTCATTGTGGTTTTGATTTCCAATTCTCTGGTGGCTAATAATGTTGAACATCTATTCATGTGCTTATTTATATATTTTATTTGGAGGAGTATCCGTCGACTCACTGCCCATTTTTAGATTCGGTTATTTGTGTTTTTATCATTGAGTTGTAAGAGTTCTTTTTATACTGTGGTTAGTCTTTTATCAGATAGATGATTTTGTTAATATTTTCTATTTTGTGGGCTGTCTTCTTCATTTTCTTGAAGGTGCCTGTTTTAAACATGTATTTATTTGTTTTTAAAAATTATTTTTAATTGAAGTATAGTTGACATATTAGTTTCAGGTGTACAGTATTTGATAATTACATGTATTATGAAATGCTCACCAGTGTAAGTGCTCTTACTGTCTTACAGTGTTGCAGTATTTTTGATAGATTTCCTAAGGTGTACTTTTCATCCTCTGACTTACTTTTTAACTGTAAGTTTGTACCTCTTAATCATCTATTTCACCTATCTCCCACCCCCCTCTTTTCTGGCTACCACCAGTTTTTTCTCTGGATTTACCAGTTTTTTCTGTTTCTTTTTCTTCAGTTGTTTTTAGATTCCACATATAAGTGAAATCATACGGTATTTGTGTTTGTCTGACTTGTTTCACTTAGCATAATGTACCTTAGATCCATCCATATCACAAATGGCAAGATTTCATTCTTTTTTAATGGCTGAGTAATAGTCCATTGTGTATACATACCACATTTTCTTTATTCATCTATGGATGGACACTTGGGTTCCTTCCATATCTTGGCTATTATAAATCATGCTGTAGTAAACATAGGTGTTCATATATCTTTTTGAATTCATGTTTTCATTTTCTCAGGTATGCACCCAGAGGTGGAATTACTGGATTGTATGGTATTTGTTTTTTTCATTTTTTGACGAATAGTGTTTCCACAGTGGCTGCACACAAATACACATTCCCACCAACAGTATGCGACTGTTCCTTTTTCTCCATGTCCTTGCCAACACTTTTTGTGTCTTGTGTCTTTGATAATCGCCGTTCCATCTGGTGTGAGGTAGCTTGATACTACCCTTTGAAGCATTGAAGTTTTAAATTTTGATGAAGTCCAGCTTAATTTATTTGTAATCATTTATGCTTTTATTGTTTTATTTAAGAAGTTTTTCCTAACCCACAGTCACAAAGAGTATATACACGAATGTTTTCTTCTATGAGTTTTATAGTTTTAGCTCTTACATTTAGGCCTGTGATCCATTTGAGGTCAGTTTTTGTGTGTGGTGTCAGAAGGAGGTTCAGCTTCATTCTAGTCCCAGTGCCATTTGTTGAAAGGCTCTTCTCTTTTAGTTAAATAGTCGTGGCTCCCTTGTCAAAAATCAGTTGACCATAGGAGTATGGGTTTATTTCTTGACTTTCACTTGTATTCCATTGTCCATCCTTGTACTAGTTCTACACTGTTTTGATTATTATAGCTTTGCAGCAAGTTTAGAATCAAGAAGTGAGAGTCTTCCAGCTTTGGTCTTTAGCAAGATTTTTCTGCCTATTCTGGGTCCTTTGCGTTTTTTCATGAATTTTAGGTTTAGCCTATCAATTTAATTAATTAGTTATTGAATTTTAGTTGATATGTATAACCTGTCAATTTTAGACTTTAGGTTTTACAGTGGCAATTTATAAAACTATTGTGAGGATCATTTAAAATTGGACATTCTTGAATGTTTAGCATGGTTTTTGATAGGTGAATGTGTTCTTGAAGCTTGCTGACTTAATTCCAAATTGTTCATTAAGATTTAAAAAAAAATTATAGTTTACTGCAAATTGTACATTAACATTTTAAAGTTATTTTTTGTTTCTGTTAATTGAGCTTTGAACATAGCCTTGTCTGATGTTTTTCGCTATTAAGAATAATGCTTTCTGTGAACATTCTTTGTATTGGTTTTTGGGTGCCCCTGTTTGTCCCTCGTAAGGAAGGGACAGGAATAAATTTGGATATGAAATTTAGACAGAATTCCTAGTTTAATTTATGGTTTTGTCTTTGCCTTCACTTCCACTGTTGAATACAAATAGTAAAAAAAGATTGCATTTTATTTTACTTTCAAGCCTGGAATTGGGGCTGAAAGCTCTAAACTGGAACTTTAAAAAGCTCCAAAGGAGGACTAAATGAACTGGGCAAGACTAGGAACAGGAACTAAATCACTTCTGAGAATTTGATAGTTGTCTAAGACAACTCAAAAATGTACATATTTTAGGACCATTTATAATTTCTTAAAATAGAGAAATTGTAATATTAATTTCACTTTTCTCCCCTAGTATTTAAAGTGGCACTGTCAGAATAAATGAAACTTGTCAAAGTGAGGTAATGGGAAACTCTGAATTTTTAAGTTTCTAATCAAACAACCTATTAATTATTGTTTTCCCTACAAAGAGAAAGACAAACCTTTTTGTTGTGGCATTTGTTAGAGGAAAGTTTGAATCATTCAAACTATTTTCAAGCCCTTTCGAAAGCAGCACATCCTGCCTTTTTCTTTAAAGTGTAGTTTTTCTTAACGAAAACTGTATCCTATGTTACGGATTACTTAATTTTTTACTTTGAAGAGAAAATGTATTTAAAAGTTCCTACAGAACAGGTGTTTTGTTGCTGATTAGTCATTTTTTGCCACGAAGTATAGTGCCTTTGATAATCAAGTTGAAAATGTTTTTCTTTTCCATTAAAATTGGATAACAAAATTAATTTTGATAGCACAAATCCACACCATTGCCTTAATATATAAAAACAGTTGTTAACCCTTCAAAAGATAATGTCAGTTTAAAGAGTTATTGCAAATATTAGAGTGAGGAAGTGTTTATGTACACTGCTTTTTCAGAGTAAGAGTAAAATTTATAATACTTTTGAGATAGTCTGTGTCACCATTGATGGCTCCATAGTCATTAAAATGGCTTTATATTTTTCTATAAACCCAGATTATTTAATTCAGGATTTAAATTTTTAATTTTTTTTTAAAATTCCAGTATAATTAGCATACAGTGTTTTTTAGTTTCAGCTGTACAGTGTAGTGATTCACCAGTTCTCTACAGGGGTTCCTGGGTGGCTCAGTCCATTAAACATCCAACTTCAGCTCAGGTCATGATCTCACAGGTTGTGAGTTTGAGCCCTGCGTTGGGCTCTGGGTTGACAGCTTAGAGCCTAGAACCTGCTTTAGATTCTCTGTCTCCCTCTCTCTGTCCATACCCCTCTCATGCTCTGTCTTTGTCTCTCTCTCTCAAAAATAAATAAACATTAAAAAATAATTTTAAAAAACCAGTCCTATACATTACTCAGTACTCATCATGGTAACCGTACTCTAATCCCCTTCACCTGTTTCACCCATCCTTCCACCTGCCTCTCCTGTGGTAACCATCAGTTCGTTGTCTATAATTACGGGTCTGTTTTTGGCTTGTCTCTTTTTTTGTTTTGTTTCTTGAATTCCACGTATGAGTGAAATCATATGGTACTTGTCTTTCTCTGAGTTATTTAATTTAGCATTATACTCCCTAGCTCTATCCATGTTGTTGCAAGTGGCAAGATTTCATTCTTTTTTATGGCTGAGTAATATTCCTGTGTGTGTGTGTGTGTGTGTGTGTGTGTGTATGCTACTCTTCTTTGTCTACTCATCTATATAGATGGACCTTTGGGTTCTTTCCATATTTTGGCTATTGTAAATATTGCTGCGGGGCTCAGGTGGTTAAGTGTCCAACTCTTGATTTAGGCTCAGGTCATAGTTTCATGGTTCATGAGCTTGAGCCTCACCTCAGGCTCTGTGTGGACAGCGTGGAGCCTGCTTGGGATTGTCTCTGTCCCTCTCTCTCTGCCTCTGTCCTGCTCCTGCATGTGTGCACATGTGCTCTCTCTCTCAAAATAAGTAAACTTAAAAAAAATAATGCTGTAATAAGCATAGGGGTGCATGCGTCTTTTTGAGTTAGTTTTTTTATATTCTTTGAGTAAATACCCAGTAGTGGAATTACTAGATTGTATGGTAATCCTAATTTTAAGTTTTTGAGGAATCTCTATAGTGTTTTCCATAGTGGCTCCACCAGGTTGCATTCCCATCAATAGTGCCTGAGTGTTCCTCATTCTC